CCCCAAAACCCCAAAACCCCAAAACCCCATATAAGACTAAGAATATTGATATTATTAATAATTAATAAAAATGAACAAATTCCAACAATTCGATGAAAATTTATCAGACGAGATATTGGATGAGCATGCTTTAGTCTGAAGCGTGAAGAAATTAGCCAACCTTGAAAAGAATATGTCAGATTCACCTTTCCATAGATCAGTCTGAGCTATCATACACAGACCTTCTGGATTTAAGTCCTTAGACTTTGCTAAATCTTGTGATGTTTATGTTAAGAAAGAAATCCCAAAGAATAAATCAGAAAACTACATGACACCGGAGCACACCAAAAAGATTAAATCTCAACAACCTTCAGCTAAGCCTAGCTTACAGAGTGATATAAAAAGTCTGCTTAGGCAAGCAATGGATATCAGGTACAAATCTCAAAACTCTCCTCTTCCAGAAGAGATTTTAGATGAGATCAAGATGGATGTGAACCTTCGTAAGAAATTATACAACCGAGAGGTGACAATGAAGGATATTCAAAAGGCATAGCAAAAGCTTCTTAATCTATTAATTTTCTCTTAATAATTACCTCTATAATCTTCTATTATTTTTACAGTTTTAGGGCTATTTAACTATAATCTTGATTTTGTGAAATTCAACACTGAAGAGGCTTATTTAAGAGGTTAAAAATTAGAGATTAATTTGTTTCCATGAACCACTCAAATTTTATATCAACAGAGAAACTTCGTTACCTCGGAATGAAGTTCTTGTAGACTCTACCAAAATTGACAAGAATAAATTTAGGCTTATAAGCAGGCTATTTGTCCCAAGTTTATTGAAGGATTGGAATAAGAAGGAATATGAGTTCCATCTGCAGAAACTCTGCTTTAGATGTCTTTGTTGACCAGATCATTTAGTTCCTATAAAAATGATTTTAATAACAACTTGCACAAGGTATATGTATTGGGTTATCTTTTAATATTTTGCAAGATGGTAGGTTTAAGACTATAGTACCACTTATATTCTCAGATTAAACATTTTTGTATATTCAGTAATCACACAAATTATTTAGTTAATTTCTTTCATTTCTTTAGCAATTTAACCAGCCCTTCAATACGAAAAATTCGAATTTTTCAGAAGTTACTTTAATTTTAGGAGTTTGCTAGATTATAATGTCAAAGGGGTTTATCTAACAGACTTGAGATTAGGAGCTGATTAAACAAGAACTATTATTAAAACATTTTAGTTATTGTCAAGATTTCATTGCTTAATGAACATTCTATTTATTCTAAGAATTCATGAAAAAATTTCAAAATTTCAACAAAGTGCTTATCACTATTCCTCTTTAAATTTTTCAAATAATAATCGAAGGTTTCTTTAATATAAACAGATTTTAGAGTAGAAAATCTTTGAGAGTCGAAATCAAGAACCAATGTCTCTATTGGTAATGTCCGATTCTTATTGTGGTAAGCTTAAGCTGCTTCCAGCAGTCGATTTATATAATCTCAGAGTGATACTACTAAAATATTGAGAAAATACGATTTATATAATTGAGCATTTAGTTGGGATCTGAGGGTTAAGATTTTGAGCAATAAAAATAATAAATTATACAACAACCTGGATGACATGAAACCTTAATTAGTATATTAAATTAAAATTTAAAAACTTTCATTCTGATTAATGAATCTATAATACTTTTTAATATTCTTAACTCTACAGTAAGAGCATATAAACCTTGCCTAAAACAGTGCACTAACACTTCCAACCCACTATTATACCTCCTTTACCTCACATCTCCCCTACCCCAAATATAACTCTCAAATAATCCCAACACCAACCCCACTGCTCGGGGTTTTGGGGTTTTGGGGTTTTGGGG